GTTCCTGCGGGGGGGTCCGAGGAACTGCTTCAGCTGTCTGTCTGTCTTCGCTGGAGGGTCAGATGAACCGCTTCAGCCATCTTCTGTTCCTGCTGAGGTCCCAAGGGGGGTCACTCCAGCCGTATTCTGTTCCTGCTGGAGGGTCCGGGGGGGTCACTCCAGCCGTCTTCTGTTCCTGCTGGAGGATCCAGGGGGGGTCGCTCCAGCCATCTTCTGTTCCTGCTGGGGGGTCCGAGGAACCGCTCCAGCCATCTGTCTTTGCTGGAGGGTCAGAAGAACCGCTTCAGCCAGGTTCTGTTCCTGCTGAAGGTCCTGAGGGGTCGCTTCAGATGTTTTCTGTCTCTGCTGGAAGGTCCGAGGAGCCCATCCAGACACCATCAGCGCCGCTAGATCCTCCACCGTTGCCTGCAGTTCCACCACCTGCAGTTTCCACACTGTCGCCTGCAGTTCCACCACCTGCAGTGCCACCAACTGCTCCATCACCTGCAGCTGCCACATCTGTGCCATCTCCGTCCTTCACGTCCTGCTCGACTTTGTTCAGCTCCTCACTGTCGCCAGCCACTTTCCAGACTGCTGGCCAGATATCTTCGCCGTCATGGTCGGCCTCCGGACTTGCTTCGTCTGTGCCGCCGCCGCCATCCACGTGGTCAGCCTCCGGATTTTCTTCGCCTGCTGCCTTTTCCATGGCCGCCCGCCGGACCGGTTCAGTCACCTGTGCCGTTGCCACTCTCCTTGTGGTTGGGCCTTGAACTGTTTAGCAATGGACTGTTGTGCTGTTGCCTTCCAGATTGGTCACCTGAACTCTATGTGAACGTGTCCATGAGCTCCAGCATTTTCTGTGGAATCTGTTTCCTGTTCCTGCTCATCATGTCCTGTGTTTCTCTGGTTATCATCTCATGTTTCTCTCCGCATGTTATAATTCAGGTTTGTTTACTGGGTTTCCCAGTTCAGAGTATTTCTTAGTTCTTTCCCTGCCACCCTTGCTTTTGTTTGTTTTCACCTATTGTAAATGAAGCTCACTAGCATCACTGCCTATGCCTGCATTCTGGGTCCTTCTCTCATAAACTCCACACATCTGCCGTAGCAGCCATGACATGTTTTATTGTGAAGGTCTCACGTTTCCATGTTCAGTGTGTCTACCTGTGGCGTCATGTTAATTTGTGTCAGTTGTGTTCCCCGTGTGTTCTCACTACCCAGACATTATCCTTCTGTGTATTTATGTCAGCGTCTCCCTCAGTCCTGTATCGTGATCGCCCTCATACCTCACTGTGTGTTCTGTCTGCCAGCCTGTCAAAGAAGTACAGCCCACCCAGTCAACCATAAAATGGCTGATTCCACTTCAACCTACCTAGTACTTCTCATTCTGGAGGCTCCTGGGAGCATGAAATCAGGGCTGTCCTGACTGCAGCCCTGGGTTCGCAAGATGTCAGCAAAGAAGTGCGGACAACTCGCAAACCAAGGGCAGTTGCTGATGATTTGGCCAACCATTTGTTACCACAGGCAGTATATCGCTGCTTGGACTGCCAAGTACTATCAGACCACTTCTGGACATGGTTCCTGCACTACTACCTGCCCGCCATACTCTCTCTTAGTGGCAGTCAGATACAGCCCTGCTTCAACTGGGTAGTGTTTTGATAATCACTGATCCCAACTTCCCAGAGCTTCACATAGCCTGTAGGGAACATTGGCAAGGTGATCCCTGGCAGCCTTATTTGCACTGCAGAGGTTAAAGTGATGGACCATACCTATGGATGACCTGTGAGGTAACCTCATTCGGCTGACTGCTGTTCCGAATGAAGATTTATACAATGGATTTAGTACTGCAAACTTGCTGGAGCAAGTCTGGGGGTGGCTGTTCTGAAGATGTCATTTACCAGCCTGTCCACAAGGGGCAGCTATGTACTGTACAGTGAGGCAAAAAAGTATTTAGTCAGCCACCGATTGTGCAAGTTCCCCCACTTAAAATGATGACAGAGGTCAGTAATTTGCACCAGAGGT